GACTAGCCATTGTAGCAAGTTTGAGGAGCCAAAAGTTCCCCAATGCTCCGAAATTAAAAAAAAAAGAGAAGAAGAAAAAAAAATCAAAAGGGAAAGGCCTACGAAGGTAAAATGAAGTCGGTAAGGTTGAGTTCCACCGACCAATCGTTATGGCAAAGTCTGGAAAAACCAGAGGTTCTCCAGGGCCTAAAATGAAATCGTTCCTCAGGGAACAAGCAGTTGTAGTTGAGATCTTCATCAAATAAGTCGGGCCAAGATCAAGTGACTGAAGTGCCCAAGGCCACAAAACCAACCACCTTTTTAAACTAACAAATCGTTCTTTGTTTGAAAACAGGAAATGGGTGCAATCCAAAAGCAACCTTGCAAGAAGCAGGTGCAACAAAAGGAAACCGCGCAGAGGCTAGAAACAGTTTTGCAGCAATAATCAATCCAAAAGAGAAGTCTCCCCCGAATTATTTCCTGCATTTTTACTCATTTTCTTAAATAATAATAAAAAAATGAAATGAAAAGAAAAGAAGAAGAAAAATTCAAAATCATGGTAGCTTAGGGTCCCTAATCTTTTGATGCATTTTCCCAACATAGGGTCTCATTCCCTAGTCACTCCCAGCATAACCTGGTAGCCTTTCCATTATAGGGTTCCACTCCCTAGTTGATCCCCGGCATAACCCGTGGACCTCCCTGCATAACCCGAGGACCTTTTTCTTTTCTAGCATAACCCGATGACTTTCCCGACATAACCCGTGGACCTCCCGGGCATAACTCGATGATCTTTTTTTCTAGCATAACCCGATGACCTTCCCCGGCATAATCCGTGGACCTCCCCGGCATAACCCGAGGACCTTTTTCTTTTCTGGCATAACCCGATGACTTTCCCGGCATAACCCGTGGACCTCCCCGGCATAACCCGAGGACCTTTTTCTTTTTCAGCATAACCCGATGACTTTCCCGGCATAACTCGTGGACCTCCCCGGCATAACCTGAGGACCTTTTTCTTTTCCGGCATAGCCCGTGGACCTCCCCGGCATAACCCGAGGATATTTTTCTTTTCCTGCATAACCCGATGACTTTTCCAGTATAACCCGTGGACCTCCCCGGCATAACCCGAGTACCTTTTTCTTTTTTGGTATAACCCGATGACTTTCCCGGTATAACCCGTAGACCTCCCCGGCATAACCTAAGGACCTTTATCTTTTGCGGCATAACCCGTGGACCTCCCCGGCATAACCTGAGGACCTTTATCTTTTGCGGCATAACCCGTGGACCTCCCCGGCATAACCTGAGGACCTTTATCTTTTGCGGCATAACCTGATGACCTTCCCCGGCATAACCCGAGGACCTTTTTTCCTTTCTGGCATAACCCGATGGCTTTTCCGGCATAAACCGAGCAGGTTTTTACCTTAAGGCATAAGTTTTGAGGTGACCAAAATAAGAAGTCTCGATTCAAATAAAATAAAAGAAAAACAAGGAAAATAAGTGAATCCAAAGTGCAGAAGCGGAGAAAAGATGTGGACTGCTCAAGACATAATTGAAGTCACAAGCTCTGCATGTCCCGCCTTGATCTAAAAAAGCTGAAGAAGATTGAACCAACACCTGCAGCTAACAAGCATCAAGATTCAGATCAGAGTCCGTATGAAGAACCAACCAAGACTCAAGATCATGCTTCAGAAGACTCATGGATAGGAATCTTGTAACTCGTAGATGATAGGCTTAGTTAGTCTTTTTAATTTTTGATTTTGATGTAATAACAGGACCGCAGGCCGGAACCTCGACGGAATAGAACCTCACTCAGCTCTCCACCTTGGTACACTCCATCATCTCATTCACTTCTGAACTACACGTGGCCTGATTTCTTTATAGCCAAGGATATGTAGGCAGCTCAGATACCAGGGTTCGGTCACATTCTTCTTTCTCTTAGTTTTTTGTCTCTCTAAATAAGGCTCGGGTCAAAAAACCTGTCTCGTTGTTCTTTGTCTGAAAACTCTTCGCGTTTCCAGTCAAAGAGGGGCAGCTGTAGACATGTAATTTTTTATCCTCCCTGAGATTTTACATATTTTTTAGCGTAAAATATTTAGTTTAGGTTTAATATCGTTATTTTAAATAGTTTTGACTCTTTTACTTTATTTTATCACAAAAAATAAAAATTACAAGAAAATAAAATAAATATTTTCATCTTTAGGTTAAAGTCAATTAGTATTTTTATATTTATAGTATTATAACATTTGAAAATACAAAAAAATTAGTTCACTCGTAGTATTTAATTTTATATTTGTTTATTTTAATTTAGAGTGATTTTTATATTTTTATAGATATATTTTATTATTTGATCTTTTTAGCCTAAGTTCAAACCAAAAAGACATGGTCCAACCCAACTACCCTTAGCCCATTCTTCCCAACCCAATAGCCCACTTAAGTGCAAGATTTAATCCTAGTCATCTATTTCCTTCTAATCCAATGGTTATCATCTCTTTTCACCTCCATATAAAATACCCAATTATAGAAACTCTACCCTAAGTTTTCAATTCTTAGACCTAGACCCCAAAAACGGTGGACCTACATCTCTAAGAGCAAAAAATGGCAGATTCCATAATTTTGTTTTAGAAAAAGAAGGTTACCTCCAATTCTCATCAACATTTTTCCTTTCCTCGTCTCAACACTATCAATTCACCCCCAAAAGTCATTGAAGATATAATAATAACAGTTGCTGATATAGAGAGAGAGGGAGTTGGACACGAAAAAACAAAAGAAAAGCAAGAAACAAAAATTAAAAAACGAGAAAATCTGGGGGGGGGACGAAAACAAAAAGAGAAAGCCAGAAAGATCCCTCTCTGAGTATGCATGCATCTATGTCTCTATCTTCGTTAAAATTGTGCTCCTGCGTGGATGTGATTTGAGGCAAAGGAGGTTAATTCTTCTTCTTTCTGGGCTATATCTACTTTGCATTTCACAAAAAACAGATGAACCTTCTTCGTCACCTAGACTAGCCGACGATCCTCCCACCTTCATCGCCGGCGAGCTTCGACGGAAACCGGCGAAAACTAAATCCAAAAAATAGAGCAGCCACGCGACCCCTCCAGTTTTGAAAACCAGCAACGCAGATCACTCCAAAATAATCCCAAACCACTAAAACCATACGGAAACAGCAACTGAAATCACTACTGCTTTCGCCGAGAAACAGTCTTGCAGCAGTACCCAAAAAAACCATTTCAGTCGAGCTTTGAAATTGTTGGCGAGGTTCCTTTCGAGGTTGACGGCATTTGGTTTCGCATTCCATCGACTTCATAGACAATTTGCTTATCAAAATATTGGAAAGTTTGAGGTTCATTTTTAGCCTTATCTCCTCTCTTTTCAATGAGTTCAAATATCTATAATACTGGCTTTAATTATATGTTAATGGTTTCTGTTTGATTGGGCTCAACTTCTATTAGATTAATATCTATTTGTACCCTGCTTACATGAACAAGTAAATGAGCCACCTGTTTTATCTTATGTTTGTCTAATGATTTGGATGACTGTTTCATGATTCAGCATGTTAAACTTTTAATGATATCTTGTTGTAAGTTGGTAAAAGAATTAATGAGCCACTAGTCCATGGTAAAATTGGACGAGTTTAGTCTTTTTATATGAGTGGTTTGTATAGACTATGTGATATTAGTTTGAGTTTGGCCTCCATTTGAATTAATTGGGCCCGAATGAATGGAATCTCACTGGTCTCTTTCCTAAAACAATTGACCTATCCTTTATGAATATTCAAGATACCTTTACTTTAGTAGCCTCTTGGGCCACCAACAATAATCTCAAAATTTTAGAAAGAATAATGAATATTCGTAGCTTATATTAGGCGTGATTTAATATAAATTGTGATTGTGTACACGTTTGCGTGACATAATTACAATCATTAAAATAAATCGAGGGATGCGTTCGGGCAACTTCGACCAAAACTTCCTTAATAATTAATAAAGCGTGATTAATTGTGGACACGTACGCGTGACATGATTTTTGACGCGCCAAAGAAAATGAGTATACGTACGTGTAACTCAATTATTTCATTGCGAATAATCAAAGCATTGAAAGTGGTAAAAAGGTAAATGCACATAGGTTCTAAAATAAGTAATGAGACAACCTAAGCCAAGTATAAATCGCTAAGCGACCGTGCTAGGACCACGGAACCCGGGAATGCCTAACACCTTCTCTCGGGTTGACAGAATTCCTTATTAGAATTTCTGGTTCGCAGACTTTTAAATAAAGTCAAAAATTTCCTCGATTTGGGATTTTAAATAAACCGGTGACTTGGGAGACCATAATGAACTATTGCAATTAGCGACTCTAAAAATAAACAAAATAATCTCATTTCGATTAATGTCACTTTAATTGAAAAAACTCCCTTATATACCCCCTATCGGGCGGGAAAAAAGGAGGTATAACAGGTTGTACTAATACCACACTTCTGTATGATATGTATAGATTTCTGGAGTAGAGTTGCTGGTGATGTAGGGTGCTGATTCTGAAGATGTTCACGCATTCCGGATATAACTGCCTCCTGTCCTTTGTAGCTTAGGTTTTACTATTATGTTTATGTATCTTTCAAACAGAACGTGTATTTATCCGTACTAGCTTTGTAAATTCCAAGTCTTAGAAGCTCATGAGTCGTACTACGAGGCACTACTGGAAAATAGGCCTACGGGAACAATTGTTTTGGCAACGATTATTAAACCATTGCAATAGAGTAGATACGGTAACGGTTACAACCGTTACAATAGAATTTGGATGAAATAAGTACTTTAGATACTAAACCGTTCTGGTTGACAGTTCACCGTTACCATAGGACTTCTTTATAAGAACGGTTTTGGCAACCGTCCCAATAGGACTATTTGTAGTAACGGTTCTAGAAATTTTTGTAATATCGGAACGGGTATTTTGTTCCCTCCTCATTTTCCCCCCTGAATTTTGCTAAACCCACCAATATAACTCCTTTTTCCTTTTATTTATTTTTTTGGGTAAATACAATAACTAAATTAAAATTTCTTCATTTCTTCCAATGCTTTCATCTTGCTCAAGCTCATTCTTTGGAAGCAGACCAAATCAAAATCACCACACAACCTAAATTCCACCTTCCTCAAATCACCAGACAACTTAAATTCCACCTTCCTCAAATCACCAGCAAACCTAAATTCCCAAATCCCCAAATCTATTTGTTAACCAAAAATCCCTAAAATTGCTAACCCAAAACTCCCAAATCCCTAAAGTCCCGAACTCTATTTGTTTTACTCGAAGGAAGAGAGAAAATATCACCGTAAACGTCGCTGCAATCAGGTTTCCCCCTCTCTGCAACTCCTTTCTTCCAACAATCCTCTCTCTTTTTTCTCTAGTTATGTTTTTTTTTCGCGATTCTCTCTAGCAATCGGAAGATTCAGAATTTGAGCTCTCCATATCAAGATTCTTCATCTTGTAAGCTTTTTATTGATCTATTTTTTGCATATATCAGTACTGTTTTGTTACTTCTTTTTTTTTGATTTTTTGGTTTAGGGTTTATTTCAAGGTTAATGCGCAAGTTTTGTACTTTATATTTGTAGATTGTGATCATTTTGTGTATGGCTTTATATGTTTTTAGGTTGCCTTTAGAACAATTATAACATTGAACATTGAATTGGGCGTGAATATAAGTAATTGGGAGGAACGTTGAACTTCAGGTAATCAGTCTCTCAAATATTCCGATGACTATTTATTAATATGGTTACCTACCTTGCATGTTTGAATAGAAAGAAGAGTATTATAGTTTCTCTATATTGACATGATATTTGTCTCCAGTTTGATTGAAATTNTTCCATCAATCCTCTCTTTTTTTTCTCTAGTTATGTTTTTTCTTTTTGCGATTCTCTCTGGCAACCAGAAGATTCAGAATTTGAGATCTCCAGATCAAGATTCTTCATCTTGTAAGCTTTCTATTGATCTATTTTTTGCATATATTAGTACTGTTTTGTTCCCATTTTTTATTTTTTGGTTTAGGGTTTCTTTCAAGGTTAATGCGCAAGTTTTGTACTTTATATTTGTAGACTGTGATCATTTTATGTATGGCTTTATATGTTTTTAGGTTGTCTTTAGAACAATTATAACGTTGTACATTGAATTGGGTGTGAATGTAGGTAATTGGGAGGAACGTTGAACTTCAGGTAATCAGTCTCTCAAATATTCCGATGACTATTGATTAATATGGTTACTTACCTTGCATAACACTTTGAATAGAAAGAAGAGTATTATAGTTTCTCTATATTAACATGATATTTGTCTCCAGTTTGATTGAAATTATGGTAATTTTTCCCTGTGAATAGAGAATACACAATAGAGAACAGGGCTAGTTGGGATTACTATTATAAAAATTGGTCATGACCATGGTAGGGTATGTATATATTTCATACCTTTAGGATCCCAGCATGTTCTTATTTGATGTTTAGTATTTGGCCATTTATTATAAATTCAATTTGGTGATGGTTTTTTTCTGTACTTTCTGTTGACACTTTGAATAAATACATAGTAGTGCTAGTGCTAGCTTACATATTTAAAACATTGTTGCATTTGGCAGAGAGGACAGGGGTCTCCAAATATCAAATTAGTAAATGTTAAGGTTTCTTTTATTAAGTCTTAAATTTTAGGCCTCTTCTGGTCTGTGTATGTCACTAAGGTAAGAGTTGTCATGATGTTAGGCCAATATGAAAAGATTTTAAGTTATATGCACTAATAGTTTTTACACTCCAATCTTGATCCTGTTTAACAAGAAGTAAGAGGTAAAGCAGACGAATTCTTATTCGCGTACATCTTTTGAATTTCCTATTTTAGCAATGTTGACTGTCTGTCCATAGGCAACAGTGGATACACTTGCTGAGAAGTTAAGAGAGAAGGGAGTTTATGTTAGTACTGTTAGGATAAGTAACATAGGTGTCTGAAATAAAATAGTAATAGTAATAAGAGTGTTATATAGCAGTATATGTAGCTTCAATTATGAATCTTCCAAGCTGCTACTATAAAGGAACTTTCAGTTTTTTGAAGCTCTTTTTGGAAAGGCTCTTTTTGGTAAGATACACTGATTCCCTTTGTGTTTTTGATAAAATTAGTAGGTGAAACAACTTTGGTAGTAGTAGGGGTTGGAGAAGCTGCAAATTTGGTGCGATAAGGGCAGAGACTTTGGCTCCTCATCTTAAAGTTATTATTGAAAAAGCCAAATTTTTGTCAAAGGTGATGTCCGCTTTTCTAAGTAGAAACACTAGAAAATTTCTTCATTTTCATTTAATAAATGTATTTAAATGGTTTGGATCCGAATAAATTTGAATGATTTACTTTTGTTTTATTTTGGTTTTTTTTTTTTTGTGGGTTTCTTCTTGTTTGTTCAATTTTTTGTCTCTAAATAGTAATAGAATTGCTGGGTTAATGCCTAATTTATGGATATTCCTATATGGTAAAAGGATTTTGGATGCCTAATTACTCTCCAGATTTTTTAAATTTGTAAATATTCAGTTATCTATTCTTTATTTTATTATAATATCAATTGAGTTGTATTTTCTGTTAGTTGGCTTATCTAGCGGATTGAGTTAGGTGTCATCACGACTTGTGGTTTTTGGATAGTGACAAAATCCGGGCATATACCCAAGTCTAAAATCATCATCCGACCTAACGGAATTTTAAAAATTCTGATCCAAGGTCAAATACACAAAAGTCAAACTTGGTCAACTTTTCCAACTTAAAACTTCCTATTTAAGAATCATTCTTCCAAATCAAGTCCGAACAACTCTATAACCAAAAACCGACCATACACGGAGTCTTAATACACCATATGAAGCTACTCTTACAAGTTATTCTTATGATAGAGCTGACAATTGACGATTATGAGATTACCGTGATAAAGGGGCGACGTTCGTGCATGTTCCCATGTGATAGGCGTATAAAAGGCTCTGGATGATGATTTGAAGGGTCCTCGTACCATATTCATGACTCATGCAAGTTGGACTGGTTGGTGTGAAAACTTCATATTCTTGTATCTTCATTCTTCACACACATCCCGTGCTCCTGTACAATCAAAGTTCCGAACTGGACGTTCTTGGAAACTTTACACAAACAATGTTAGCTTTCTGCTACAATTTAACTTGCTCTCGCTGTGTTAATAAATTTTATAGGTAGTTCTCTTTGAGTTGGAATTTTATTTACACCATGCAAGTATATGATAGATGGAATGACCCAAATTTGACGTCACTTTATTCTAGTAGGTTCTTTTGCTTTGTGGGCTTTAAAATTTAAATAGAGAAAGAGAGAGTAAATGAACAAAGTAGTTACTTTTAATGCTTTCTATAGACTAAAGAGGTGTCGTAGTTGTAGCTAGCTTTATCAACAGAAGGATGACCCACTAAGGTCCAAAAATGACCATGACTTAAATGAGAACATTATAAACTTGACTTTAGTAGTATCCTGTCCCATCTATACATGAATGTAAGAGCAGTCAGTAGGTAGCAATGTGAAAGCCAATTCACAAGGGTCCCTCCCCTTGGTCCTTGTCTGATGGACTAAAATTCTTCATACATGGGAAGGGAGAAAAGAGCCTTCTGTTCAAACAAAGTTGCGGATATAGGTTTTCGACAATAGGAAGCGAGAAAGTGAAAGTTTATGCTTTCGATAGTGACTTTGGCCAAGCTCTCAAAAATTACTTCATTTAAAAAAATATTTTGATTCAAAATTACTTTTTGAAAAAATATTTTATAAAATTGTAGTTAGTGTTTGGCCAACTCATTTGAATAGTATTTTTTGCAAGCTTATTGTGTTTGGCTAATCTTTCCAAACGTATTTTTAAATATCGAATTACGAAAAAGAACAGTAAAAATTCAGTTTGCAATCAGTATTATTTACAAAAGAAAAATAACTTTAAATATATTATTTTAAAAAAATAATTAAAATATATATAAAGTAAAAAGCATAAATAAAAAATTCAAATCAATATAAAATAAAGTTATTCCAAAGCAATAACATTGAATATCTAGTATCCCTTATTGTTTACATGATAATTTAAATATATCAAACTATATTATTTAATATAAATTAAAATCTACTCTTAGGAACAGGAGAAAGAGAATAAAAATGAGAATTTTACGTGAATGTACTAAAAAAAGACATATTTATCAACAACTAGCTATTTTAGTCATGCTATCACAAATAGCCAAAAAATTTACCAATGATATACAACATTCAAAAAATATAAGCAAAAGAAGATTTTTTTTTCAATGGGTATTATCGTGATCCATTGAAAACACATAGATGAGACAATATACAAAATTTGACGAAGTTTGAAGTGAGTTAGACTAGTTTGCAGTCAAAATTCATTACCAATGATATACAATATTAAAAAACAATTAGGCAAAAAAGAATTTTTTGTAATAGGTAAGGTTGGAATTCGTTGGAAACACATAGATGAGGCAATATACAAAATTTGAGCAAGATTGAAGGTTATTTGGACTGGATTGGTATCAAAATTCGTAGTTAAAATCGAGTTTAAAAACTTTTTCTGCGACACATGTATCAAACTTGTATCACACATGTATAGATCACTACTAAAAAAACCAGGGTTTAGCGACGGACAAAATCTGTCGCTAAACAGAAAAATCCGCCACTAATCTCATTTAGCGACGGATTAGTGACGGATTATCAAAAGATTCTTCTAGCAACGAGCATTTTAGCGATAGATTAGCAACGACGTTCGTAGCTAAATCCAGTTTTTTTTGTAGTGGATGGATATACATGTGATACACAATAAAAATATGATTAAAGTAAAAAAGAGAAAAAAGGTATGGTAGAATAAAAAGGAAAAGGAAACGAAAAATGTTAAATTAACGAGGAATAATTTGGAAATAATAAATTTATTGTAAGATTATTTTTGTCTTGAATAAATTAATATTCTGCTTCTGTTTCTGTTTCTTGGAAGAAGCTAAAATTATTTTTTTCCCCAAAAGCAAAAAAATTATTTCTACTGTTGCACAAAAGTACTTTTTTTATCTAGGCCAAACACCTTAAAGTTTTTAAAAAGTAATTTTTTGATTAAAAGAAAAGTACTTTTCGCGCCCATAAGCTTGGCCAAATAGACTCTAATGTGAAGTGCAAAAGTACTTGTTCTCCTTAATGTTATACGTACATACATATGACCGAGGGGTCATTTGGTAGGATAGATTAGGAAAAATAATATATAGTAGTATTAGCTTTGGTATTATTAATTTCTTGTTTGGTAGTGTTTTTTACTCTATTATAACTACCACACGTATTAGTTATACACACTATTTGGCATTATCCTATGTATAACTAATACATATTAAATCATAGCATTAGTAATATCATGGTTTTTAATACATAGATAAACATGTATACACACCTATGCAATGCATGTTATTTTTAATACAACAAATCAAATAATGGATAAGAAATAATCTCAGCATAATTAGTCTCAGCATAACTAATTTCAGCATTACTAATATATCATATTCAGTACTATTCTTATATACCCTAACAAACTACCCCTAATTTATTAAGCATATCTCTATGGTAAGATCGTACCCATGGTCAATGAGGGTTAATAAATAAAATATCACTTTTAGAAAATCAAAAAGGTGCTAATTAGTAGTTATTTATTCGAATCTACCGTTGCTTCAGTAATCATATAAAACTTTTAAAAGAAATAAAGGGTAATTTGAAAAGAAAAAAAAGGTTAATAATATCAAATAATTCCTATTATTAATACCATATATATTAAGTGATTTTCTTAATAAGCATGCCAAAATCTTAAACGAAACTTATTAAAACAAAGATCTATCTCTACGTTTTGCGTGGGTTTGATTAAGACCAGTATGTAGAAGACATTTCTTCCACATTAACGTACATAGCTAACAAACATAAGATAATAAAATAGAACAATACAAACATATGAATGTTGTTACATTAACCACCAAAGGATGTGGTGCAGTAGATGGAACTGTTCGTCCTTTAATCAGATATCTCGGGTTCGAGCTCTGAGTATGGAAAAATCATAGGTAGGGAGCGCTTCCCCCCGAATAGGGCCCGTCGCGGCATGAATCTGGATATAGTCGGGTTTTAATGCGGGTACCGGACACTGGGTGAGAAACCAAAACATAAAAGAATGTTGTTACATTGGACTACCGACCTCGTAAGGAATGAAACTAATAGCCTGTTTGGCCTAATTTCTAAAATCAACTTATTTTGAGAAGTACTTTTCAAGAAAGTGTTTTGGTGATAAGCAGTTGTGTTTGGCTAATTAATTTGAAAAACACTTTTGAGCAATAATTAGTGTTTGGCCAAACTTTTAAAAACTGCTTCTAAGTGTATTTTCTCAAAAGCGCTTCTCAGAAAAGTGTTTTTGGAGAGAAGCTACTTTTTCTGCTTCTCCTCAAAAGTACTTTTTTTCCTTCTACAAGCTTGGCCAAACACCATAATTTTTGGGGAAAAAAACACTTTTGGCCTCAAAAAAAAACTTAGCCAAACAGTCTATAAACCCATTGCCTCAAGCTGATAAAATGCAGGGATATTCCATCAAGTTTTTTAAATAATTTAATTTTTTGCACTACAACTACGTGAAGGTTTATAAAATTTAATTCTAAGAGCATAAAACTTTTTAATAGTAGAATAGATTGTTAACTATAAAAATATGAGGTTCAGTTGATTTTCGAATTCAACATAGCTAGTCAGTGGGACATGCTCAAGGTTGTGCCATGCTTCATTTCATTGACAAAAGAAATTGAATGAGTACGAAGTTGCATAGTTCTACAAAACGAAGCACAACACCCAGGCATTTGTTCGCCTTTATAAATTTATTTTTTGTTTTATGACTCTATCTCTTTTTTACACATGAGAAATTTACTTTTACACATCAGAGATATTGAGAAAGGTGTGACTTAGGTAATCAAGGGCATTCTTGTAAATTCTAGTATTAACGATTAACAGTTTTAAGTTAGGTTTGTTACTGTTAAGTTTGTTATTAGTAGCTAAATTCAGCTGGATTAATAAGCTCTATATGAAGAGCTCATGTACTCTTTTTCAGCTCTCAAGATGAATAAAACAGTTCATTCTTCTCTCTCTACTTCATCTTCTTCCTCTCTTATATTATCTCTTCAACACTAGGGTACTAGCCACATAATTCAGCTATAATTTTATGGTACCAGAGCAGTCAAGCTATGAAATTCTAGCTTACAATAGATCCTAATTAATCACGCCTAACTATGCCTTATAAAAAGGACACTTGGACGTTGCAAATATAACCTGAGTATTTAGCCCAGAGTCGAACCCACAAGAAATTAACCTATCAATTACTCTCGTTAGACTTACTAATTTTCATGGAATCAACTTCCCAAACGTTGTGAATAACAATTGATGATGTTTCTACTAACTAAGAATGAATGTAAATAAGCAACTGAAAACTAACTATGATTAAGTTGTAAACAATTAAGAGAAGGATCTAAGGTTATGATTTCCCCTATTGATGAAATCCCTTCCGGTTATGTTTCACATAGATTCACCAAATAGTCTCTATCAATCATGAGCACTCTTATTACCGTAAATCTCTCCCGAGTAATCACGATAATTTGCTAGACGCACTCTCCCGAGTTACGCTAGCTGGCTTTATTTATTACAGCTTACTTTAGATTGCACCCAAAACTTCGTTATCCCTAATCCCGCCTTTAAACCCTCGGTTATTGATCCCTCATATACTTTGGAAGTGGTGTTGTTCAACAATTACCTAAATATGCACTCTCTTCCGAGTTATGCACACTAAATAGGCACAGCTAATTGAGGATCCTATCAATTAACTACAACAAGAACGTAGTTGAGCAAATAGAGATTAAACTGGGCAAATTATATTAACATAACAAGAAGTTCATCATTCAATAGGTTCCATCAAAACCCTAGACTAAGAAATTAGCTACTCATAACAAAATAAGATAAAATTACTAAATTATTCATAATGGGTAATTGCAATAATAAAGAGAAGATAGAAGAACTCTAATGTTTGATTGCTCTTCTCACACTTGTTATTGCCTCCAAAGTAGTATAAAAACAAGCTTTTTTCCGTCTTGGGCGAGCTTCTAAAGTTTATAAGGGTTTGGAACAATTTTTCCCCGAATTACACTTTGGTCCCCAATT